ACTAAGAACTACTAGAGCCATCGTTTGGAAAAATCCCAATGGACTTTTAAGATTCTATTAATTTATTTATTTAGATAGGGGAAGGGAGGGAGAAAGAGAGGGAGAGAAACGTCCATGTGTGGTTTCTCCCCTCTCCCTGCAACTGGGCCCACACCTCAGGTATGTGCCCCGACTGGGAATCGAACTGGTGACCCTTTGGTTCCCAGGCCAGTGCTCATTCCACTGAGCCACACCAGCCAGGGCCCAGTGGTCTTTTTGGCCAAGCCAATAAATTGAAATGATCCCACAGTAAGTCTAGTTAACATCCATCATTATACATAATTACAATTTTTTCTTGTGATGAGAACTTAAAAAAAAATTTATTTACTTATTTTTAGAGAGAGGGGAAGGGAAGGAGAAAGAGTGGGAGAGAAACATTAATGTGTGGTTGCCTCTCATGTGTCCCCTTCTGGGAACCTGACCTGCAACCCAGGTCCTCAAGGTCCATCGATATTGTCCTAATTGGCAGATTTCCTTTTTTTATGGCTCAATAATATTTTATCGTGTATTTAAATCATATTGTATTTATCCATTCACCCATTGATGAATAACTAAGTTGGTTCCATATCTTGGCTATTGTAAATAATGCTGCAATGAACACTGGATATGCACGTATCTTTTTGAATTAGTATTTTTTTTTCAGGAAGGTACCCAGAAGTATAATTGCTGGTAATTCAATTTTTAGTTTTTTAAGGAACCCTCATACTGTTGTCCATAGTGGCTACATCAATCTGCATTCCTACCAACACCGCACGAGGGTTTTCTTTTCTTCATATCCTTGCCGACATTTGTTATTTGTGGTTGCTTTGATAGTAGCCGATCTGATGGTAGGAGGCGATACCTCGTTATGGTTTGCATTTGCATTTTCCTGGTCACTAATGATGTCGAGCATCTTTTCTTGTGTCTGTTGTGTCATCCATTGTTTCTCGTGTCATCTGGGTGTCTTCTTGGAAAAACGGCTAGTCCTCTGCCCATTCTAAAATATAACATTCACTATGTTTACATGACACTGTAGTGGACGTTCTTATATAGAATTTTTTAAGAAAATACCTGAATATTAGAATAAATTCCAAGACATAAAATTTCTGGCATCAAAAGTATGTACATTTTAAAGGTTTATATATAAATTGCTAAAAGTCATTGTAATTTATACTTCCTTCAGCATGGTTTAATAGTGTCCGGCATCCAATAATTGGCATAATTATTTTTTCTAATATTTGCAAAATTTATACAAAAATAATTGCCTCTCATTGTAGGTTTAATTAGTAAAGTTAGATCTTTTTAAAAAAATATTTATTTTTTTATTTATCTTTAGAGGGGAAGGAGAGAGGGAGAGAAACATCAATGTATGGTTGCCTCTAGTGCATCCCCTGCTGGGAACTGGCCTGCAGGGAACTGGCTTGCAACCCAGGCATGTGCCCTGACTGGGAATTGAACCGCGATCCTCTGGTTTGCAGACCTGCGCTCAATCCACTGAGCTACACCAGCCAGGGCTTAAAGTTGTACCTTTAAAAAAGATTTTATTTATTTTATTTTTAGAAGAGGGGAAGGGAGAGAGGAAGAGAAACATCGATGTGAGAAACAATGATTAGTTGCCTCTTGTATATGCCCCAACCAGGAACTAAACCTGCAACCCAGACACGTTTAAACTGGCAATGATTCACTGTGCAGGATCATGCTCAAACCCAGTGAGCCATACTGGTCAGGGCTAGTATGGTTGGACTTTGAAAATAAATACACTATTCATTTCTTCCCCAGAATTCTCTGTTCACATCTTTCAACTATATTTCTATGGTCTTATTTATTTGAAAGAATTCTCTGCAAGAGGTAGCCGCCAAAATTCTTTGCTTATTACATATGCCCTGCCTTTTTTCTGTTTTATTTCATATTTCAAACTCCTTTTCCAAACTAGCAAATTTTGGTACTTTATTTGTCCCCTTGAGGAAGCAGAACTTAGGAGAAGCCACCATCACAGACAGAGTTCATTAGGCACATTTGTTGAACTTAAGAATGGACACCATGTCTATTCTTTCCTTTTTCTTTTCCCTCTCCTTTACTTTTAGTAAGACTTATTTCCTCTGAGACAATGTCTCTGTTTCACTCGTGCCACAGAAGGGCATGATGGATCTGTATGAAATTGATATTTGTAGGGGACTACTTCTTTAAAAATATTATCTTTAAGGGGAGGGGAAGGAGAAAAATAATCCCTTCTCATCCACTACACACCAGCCAGGGCCAGGAAACTAACATTCTTTAGTGCCTGCCATACACTAGGGCCTGTGCTAGACACTTGACTATATTAATTCGTGTTATCCTTAAAAGAACCCTAATGAAGTAGGTAGTGTTTTCTTCATGTTGTAAGCTGAAAATCATTCAATGTATGTGTCCTTGCCTTTCTGTCTTCCTTTTGGCTTTCTTGATTTTATCCTCATCCTGCTCCTTTTAAAGTCTTCTCCATGTTTGTCATGGTGATTCCATCTTTCCAGGGGCTCAGGTCTTCTACACCTCAGAGTCATCCTTGTTTTCTTTGTTTCGTCCTCCACATCCAATCTGTTCAGATTCTCTGCCAGCTCATCACCTCCACTCCATCTCCTTGGTCCAAGTCACCATCCTCTTGCTCCTGAATTATTTCAATAGCTTTCTAATTCGTCTGTTTCAGCCCTTACCTCCTAGTTGGCTATTCTCAACCCAGCAGTCAAAGTGATGCTGTTACAATGCATCAGAAGATGTCACTTTTTTGCCTCAAACCTTCCACTGACTCTCAACTCAGAGTGAAATCCTCACCGGATGAGTCACCCATATCTTACGTCTCCAACTTCATCTCCATTCTCACAGCCTGGCCTGAGTTTGTACCTGCTTTCTGCCTCACAAGTTGTCTGCACAGGTATCTTACTGTTTAATCTCCTTCAGCCTTTGCTCAAATGTCCGGTCCTTCAGAGGCTTTCCTTGATCACCTTATTCAGAAGAGATCCCTGTCATATTCCTCATGCTCCTCCCCCGACTACTGTTTAATTTTTCTCTACAGCATTTTTAATCATATGGCTGCCCATGTGCTTCCCTATTTATTTATCATCTGTTTCTCCCACCTGGAAGGTGAGCTCTAGGAAGGCTAAGATTATTGTTTTTGTCTTCTGCTGTGTCCCCAACCTCTAGAAGAATGCCTGGCATGCATAAATCACTCAAATAAACAAATATTGGTTGAATAAATGAATGATTCTAACACATTCCAATTGTCAGGGTAGGCCAAGGTGACCTGCTGTGCACAACTTCCTGGCTTCTACTTTCATTTCTGTCTCCTTCGTCTTCCCCAGCTTTTCCTATGAGCCGCTTGTCTGCACTTGTTATAGGTGAAAGGCTGGTGAGTTCTGAGAGGTATGGGCAGCAAGCGCACCCCGTGTCTCGGCTGCCAGGCACAAGCGCACCAGGGTGGTAGCCTTAAACGGGAGCATAGAGTTTGCATCATTGCATTGCCATGGTTGCAAGAGGTAACTTGAAACTATTTACACCTCATTTTGGGTATCTCTGGATGGGAGAATGGAGGGAGAAAGATGCTTTCTTCCAAAGGAGAATTTGGCGGGGCGCCAGCAGAATGCTGCTGCGGTGGAACCAGCTCCACATCCGCCTTTGCAAGCGTGGTGTGACCCAACCTGCCCAGACTGTGGCTCACCTCAAGTTTCAGCCACAGCAACCACACGGCTCTGAAAATGCCAGTACGGCCTCTAACCAAGAATTTGATTCCTCCTCCTGGATTTAAGGTCCAGAAAACAGAGCGTGGACTTCGCCGCCCCAGCATGCAGGGGAGTGGAGGGGTGCTGCCAGGGCGGCCCTGGGCATTGCTCCGCGTCTGATGCCGGGCGGCCGGCAAACTCGGGGCCAGGCCGTCCCAGGTCTGGGCTCTTGGAAGGATATTGAGACAAGGAGCAGTGCCAAAGGCCACCGCCACCAACCATCGTGGTAAGGAAATAATTTCCTAACCTGTTCATCTGCCGGAGAGTCCAAGTTGGGAAAGTTTCCTTTTAGTTGCAGAACAGTCCACATTAGAGAGCACTCACTTTTGGGGTGTTCGTGAACCGTGTGACACGCACACACATATACTCACAAACAGCTCTGATAACACCAGTGCCCCTTAAAAAAAGAACCCAGCACCCGGCCCCCTCTCCTCCCGGCAGGAACGTCTGGCTCGCCCTGCCCACTTACAGGGATTTTGCCAGTAGAATAACAGGGGAACATTTCCATCACTTGACTCAGCTCTCTTGGGACTTTATTAACATTTTAAAATTCAAACCACGGGGGGGGCGGGGGAGATGGGGAAGAAATTAGAGTGTGTGTGGGTGGCGTGGGGTGGGGAGGGAGACAGTGGCTGCGGTCAAACCTTTGGGAAGTGAGAAACTGAAAGCGTCCGTGGTGTGCGGAGTTGTCTGACTTCCTCCACTTCGCAGGTTTATTTTCCTGTGGGCGGTGCGTGTGTGGAGTGCGGATCCCGCGAGGGGCAAGCCCCCAAGGGCGAGCTGCCCTCCATTCCGCAGAGGTGCAGGTTTCAGTGGAAACTTTCGGCTACAGGCCCCTCCTCCTTCACCTTGGAAACTGGCACCTGGCGCAGCGCGTCCTGGGGCGGGGGCGGGGCCAGGGCGCAGCCCGGCTCCCAGTCCCCGAGGCAGGTTGGTCCCCGCCCTGGTCCGGTCCGGTCCCGCCCACCCCAAGTGTGCGGAGGGGAGGGGAGGGGCGGGAGCGAATCGGGGACCCACGAGGCCCAGCCACCCGCTGGTGATCCTTGGAAAGGAAAAGCTGCCCTCAGACCTCCTCCAGCCTGGTACTTCCTCCCCTGGCCCTGCCGTTGAGGTGGAGTCGGGCGGGCGGGGAGGGGCCGGGCAGGGACCTGCGAGGTCTCCCCGACGAGCCGGCTCCCCTACCTGGGTCCTCAGCACAGGTCGCGCCCGGGTCTGCGTCCTCAGGTCCTGGCACAAACTTTCTGGATTGTCCCAGGACATTTGTGGGGCAAGTCCCACACCACGCGGGTAAGAGGAGCCACAGCCAGGGAGACAGGTACGTGGCATGCTGCTGTGAAATTTCACTTGAGGGATTTTTTTCAGTTCTAGGGGGTTAAGGGAGGAGGGGTAGAAGTGTCCCACCTTTTCTGCACCCCCTCCCCCAGCTGGGCCGGAGGAACAGGTTTGGGGTGGGGGCGGGGTGGAGGACCCAGTGGGAATATCCCAAACCTGATCGCCGGTGCGGAGTCGCCGCGGGCGGAGGTGGCTCCCAGAGCCGTGGGACTGGTCAGTGGTAACCCCGGGGGAGAGCGAGCCAGCTCGTGTAGGCGGAGAACGATGTCCTAAGGGCTCTTCCCCCCTTTTCTCGGTCCCTGGGGTCCGAGCTGGGTCCTGCGGGAGGAGCAGGGATCTGGGGCTCAGCTTTCCTCTCTAAACCTCCTCGTCTACACCAGGGACAGGCGGCGCCACTTTGAGGTTGGCAGCACTTTATCGTTGTAAGAACTTACTTGTTTGGTGGCTGTTGCTCAGTTTCAAAAGTTTTCAAGTGAAACGGCGTTCGTTCGTCGTGATGGTTGTTGCCGATGGTGTGTTTGTGTGTGTCCCGCCTCGACCTCAGCAAAGCTCCCTCGTTAACCCCGCTTCTGCCAGAGAGTGGAACTGGCTGCTGTCCTATTTCAGGTGCGGCCAGAGCGAGGTGTTGGTGGCAGCAGTGAGAGCCGTGTTTGCGAGGGGCTCTGGGCATCACAGGAGCCCAGCTCTGGCCCACCCACCTGGATCCATCCATTCTTCGCCGATCCCGCCCCCACCATTCAGCGGGGGCCTCCTTCGTCCCGGGAAGGGGAAATTCCACCTGGGGAAGGAGCCCCAGAAGGCGGAGAGGCAGCTCTGCGGAGGGGTAGTAAACAACGCATACCAACTGTTGCTCCCCTAACAACTGGCACTGCCCCCTCACTTCTCAGAAAGGGTCCTGCTGTCAAATTCATCTCGTTAGGAAGTCAGGTGCTCTCTGCTCCTCGTGGTAGCAGCCCTGATGAAATTATATAGGTCACTGAAAAGTATTTCCTGTTTAAGCACCTTTGTGCCATTGGTTAATGAGGGAAGAGATTTCCTCTCATTAATTAGTGTATCTTGCCTGCTTGGCAGGGTCACCTGCTTGACCCTCAGGTTTGTTGCGTACCTGGCACTAGACAGGATATTTTCCCCGAAGCTGCCCAGGCCTAGTGAACTACAGCTGAAGTCCCCATTTGGAGAACTTCAGTGGTCTTCTCTGGACAGAAATGAGTAAAAATTGGTTTCTTTTAGTTCCAGTTAATCCCTTACTGCAGAGCTCATAAGAATTGTGTCCATGCTTGTCTAGAAATAAATTAAGTTTGGGGTCCCCTTTCTCATTTGCCCTGTAGCTTTCGGAACAGGATTAAGCCATGCGGGGTGGGTGGAAAAGACAAGAGAAACCAAGAGTCAGTGAACTCGATTCAGAGGAAATTTAGAATAGCCTAATAATTTAGGCCCAACTGCTTCACTAGCTTCTTCCTTGCCTTCGTGTGGAGACTCGTAGGTTGTATCGCTTTTCATGCAGGCCTTTGAAGGCTGGAAATGAAAGGACTGCTTTACTACAGAGTCAGAGTAATGTATTGCTGGACAGTTCTTCATGATAACCTCCCAAGTTTGGTTCAAAACACTTTCTCTGCAGAGTTTTTTTCTACCATAATAGGAAGTCAGTGGATAATACCTACAAGTCAAGAAGCAGGTATACAAATAAATTATTCAGACAGGTAGAGGTACATATTAGAGACAAATAGGAGTTGCCTAAGGAGTGACTTTTGAAACAGTTTCTGTATTACTTTTAAAGAGAATATTTGATAAGAAAGCTTCCTCTCTCCAAATATAAAACAAAATTCTTTTCTTGGATCCTTCCTTAGATGCTTGATCTTTATTCTGTGTACATTTGTCTCATAGGGCAACACAGTGGCCCTTTAAAGAACTAGACCCTCAGATTCTGACCTTGGAACACAATTCACAGCTACTTCTCTTTTACTCTGTTACTTCCAACTCTTGGTTTTTAGTCCAGGTAGGAGAACAGTGCTGCAGAGTGATTAGTGACCTCAGGGACTTCATTTATGGGGCTCTCTTAGTAAAGACAGTAACAGAAAGTAACATTTCTGTACTGCTTTATGATGACCAATGTGCTGTGATTTAACTATTTTGTAGTGGGTGCTATCCTATTCTGACTACAAGAGAGGAAAACAGATAAGAAGATAAGCAACTTTTAGGTGTGTACTTGACTCTTGAATGTGGTAGACTCAAACCCGAATTCAGGATTTCTGACTTAGATAAGGCCACGTTTTAAGTTTTTTCCCTGCTACCTCTTGTGAAGTATTTTGATGTGCAAAGGGATCTTATTTCTTATTAAGCAGATGGTCCGTAATTGGAGATAGGACTACACACCTCTGTATGTGTGTGTGTAATATTTGTATCCTTTGCCTGTCCACAGTGTGGCTGTAGCTAGAGAGATGGGTGGGCTGGATGAATAAATGCCCCCAATGAATTGAATAAAGAACTTTGGTAATGTCTAAAATTTTTTAAAAGTCAGGACATAGGAACGTGAGTGTGTGATTTACAAATATGAAGTAGTTACTAGAAGAAACATTTTGAAAGTTGAAAGAGTGTCTTTTGGGGAGCAGGACTCAGGATTAGGGGAAGCCAGGCAGGAGTCTACTGTTTTTGGCTGGTACCTTATAGCTTTATACCTTATATTTTATATTATGTTCATGCATATTCTTTTTAAAATATCTTTTGGCAAGGACAGGGTAAAGGGCTGTTTTCAGAGTTTTAGACATGAAGAGATTAGAGATTGCTTATTCCCAGTTCTTTCGTTTTGCAGATGAGGAAATTGAGGTATAGGAGTTTAAACATTTTGTGAAGGTCACATGGCTGGAGAAACAAACCCTTTCCCAGGACAAGTTCACAGTCCTCCCCAGACAGGTGGAAATTTTCCCCAGGCTTATAATTCCTCAATTACCTTTCTAGGCAGTTTTCACTTCTCCTATCTGGTTTTTACAGTGTTTGAGTAGGTTACAGGACTGTGGATTCAAAAATAGTTTCTGTAATTACTCATATTCCCATTTGAAAAATGCTTCAAATATCTTTAGTCTGCAGACAAAATTTTTGGTTAATTCTGTAAGAACGTTCAGTTAGAATTGGAGACACCTGGGCAGTTTGCGTGCAACTTTTTAAGAATTTACAGTGTTGCTCAGTTGAATTTGATAAATACTGGAATTTGGGCTAAACTTTTATCCTGAGAAGCTGCGACTAACAGAAGATACTAAGGGAGCTTTTCCAGTCTCTCTGTGTTAGTTGCTTCATTTTGAGAATGAAGGATATAGCTGAGAATAAGGATATAGCTGTCTTCCAAAAATGGTGCAGACAGATGACATTTCACAGCTATTACATTAAAGTGTTAACACCCTAAGTTTTCCTTTTCTTTATGCATAAGATTCTCTCCTACTTCCACTCCACTTACATCTCCAACTTAACACTTTGTGTTTTTTTTTCTGATTATACACACAGTCTATATTATTTAACATTCAAACTTACAGAAATATGTAATTTTGAAAATAATAGCACACTGTCATCTTACATTCTGGAGAAACTGCTATAAATAGGTCTATGCTTTTCTCCCCAAATTTCTCTCCATATTAAAATATATTTAACTGTTTGGTGATTTTTAATAACCACGGGGCAACACTAAACTACTTTCAACTTGGCTTCTGTTTTTAACCTAATGCATCTCGACAGTGTTTCCATGACCATACACACGGGGCATCTGGCTGTATTATTGCATCACAGGTCGTTTAAACAGTTTCCTATTGTTGGAAATTTGGGTCGCTTCCCATTTTTCAAGACTAAGAACAGTGCTTTAAAGAATGTCCTTAAAGTACACTTGTGTGAGTGTCTTCTGTGGGAAAATTTTGTGAAAGAGTCAGGGATATGAAAATATTAACTTTTTCTAATTTATACTTCCTCTAATAGTGTACCTTTGATGAAGACTATATTAATACTATATTAATACCCTTTTTCCTGAATGTAGGAGACTAAAGATAGAAATTATTAATATGTGACCAGACATCGAAACAGGAGATCATAGGAGCAAAACACTCTGAGCTCTCTCCTCATTTCCTCACATTTCAGGTTCTTTTCAGTTTAAATTTTTTCCCAAGAGAAGATAGTAATTGATAATAGCTATAAAAATACTCTGCAGGTGTTGGCAAGCTGCTAATTAGCTTTTATGGAGAATAGGTTTTTTTAAAAAACATTTTCTTAGCATTATTCTAGGACATGCCATTAAGGAGTTCAGAGAATCTGCTAAGCTTTGCAGAATTGAGTGTATTTTAGCTCTTCTTGTATTTTTAAAATTTACTTCTGTTGAAATATTAGTAATGGATAAATTTTAAGATCTTTAGGCTTTTAGAAAGTGCCAGGAACTGATTTCACTTTTCTGTGTGTGGAAAGTGTGAAATAAGATATTTTGGCTAAATTTCATGACTCCGGCTCATTGAAGGAGGAACACTTCAGGAATTCCTGTGGCAAGTTTTTGTTGACCATCTTAGAGATTTGGTTAATATTTTCATTGAGTCTAACCTTTGTTCATAACCATTCAATTAAAGGATTCTGTTTCATTCTTCAAAATTAGTGTATTCAGTTTTGAGTTCAAGGAACTTGTACTTGAAGCTTAATCATTAGGTTGATTTTCTTTGTAACATATCAGAATGAGTATATAAAAATATAAATCTATATACATGTTTATTCTTGCATAAGTATATAGTGATATAAGCTATAATTTGAAAATGTGATTTTAAGTAGGTCATTTAGCATGAAGAGTTCATATGTCCTCAAAATGAAGTTATGTCTGTCTGTATTTTATTAGAAGAAATATTTTTGATATTTTTGTATGATAAATTTCCTTTTTTTAAAATTTTTTATTGATTATGCTGTTACAGTTGTTCTATTCCCCCTTTCATTCCCCTCCACCCTACCCCCCCATCCCCACCATCACCC